TAAAAGCTGTGAAAAAGTACTTCCAAGTCCATTCATCTTTGAAAACACGGCACTCTGAATCAACTTTACGTTTTTTAGTTGACATCTTAGGGCTGAAATGTTTCACGAATGTGCACAGTAAAACTAGCAAACACCTACAGCAATAGTGCGACCGGGTCTGAATAAAAGGATGTGGTGTTAGTAGCCAGCTGCAGTGGATGTAATGTGGAGGGGGTACAGCAAGGAGGCCCCGTTGCCAGTTTTACTCTTCGCTACAAAAATGCCAGCAGCCAGTGCCTCACTCGCAAATGTTAACATAGCAGTCCAATACCACAGTGGATAAGTAAATAAATTAATCTGTGGTCACTAGGCTAAACATAAAAGGGAGGAAAGAAGAAGAAAATAATCCAGAATTATTTATTTTCCTTAATTCTTCTTCTTTTCATTCGTCAGATTAGGAATCATTTCACGGGCCGGATAGAACCTACCAGAGGGCCGCGTCTGGCCCGCGGGCCGTAGTTTGCTCACCACTGCTTTAGACAGAGCATAGCTATACGATGTCCATTGCTTTGAAAGGGAGCCGGTATAGCGACTGGTTCCCCTTTCGTCGCCTCCTACGAATCGCAGAACTATGGTGGAGGGATTCGACCCACGCGTGATTCACAACTCTCAGTCTGAGCCGTATGTTACGACCGACGCTCAGTCGGCCAGTCTGTCTTGGAATAAAGCACCCATCTGGGACTCCAAGACCATACATATCCTTAATTGCTGTCAGTTGCAGGTTTGTTGATGTGGGGCGCTCTCTCTGACGAGAGGACGGGTCTGTCGATTACAATTACTGCAGGTCCTCGCCAGCGCAGGCATTCTCGGATCGGAGTCCGTGGGACTCGCGACCACATTTTACTGTCTCAATTTCGAGACTTCCCTTTTCGTCATCTCCTACGACTCGTAGGGCTACAGTGGAGGTATTCGACCCAACCTCCACACGGGATACAACTCTCTGCCAAACGCGCCTCGGTTATAACATCTAGTCACGGACAACGTAGAAACCACCGTTCACTCTTATACTCCAATCGTTTCCGTGGGAGCATATTTGTTTACGAAAGCGTTACTCAGTAACGGCTACGTATATCTGCTTATTAAGGATCTATTGCCTGTGTTGTTTCGTTGTTTGTTTCGCGGTAACGGGTCTACACGCTACAGTATTTGCCAACGTTTTGGCAGACATCGAAAATCTGTATAATGATTTCCAGATTCCCCAAAGACATTGATTCGTGGGTTTCCACTCCCCACGGTCATTAACTCAGGTATATATATATATAAATAAGGGCTCCCAGCGCCGTCAAGATATTAACTCAGATAAGGGCTTTTCGATCCAAGAACATTTAACCTGAAGATAGCTACTGTATTGTTTGCCGAAACGTTTGAAAACCCTCAACATTCGGCGAATCTTATACCCGAAAGCCGAAGTTATACTTGTTATTAACACTTTCACTGCTGTGATCGTGATTTATCATTTCGAAATCGGCCCCTAATCTCTGCAGATGTTTGTATACGCAGAGCAAATGATGTTCTTCGACCTGATAGCACATTAAATTAGCCATTTGCAGTGGCCTTCAGCTGATCATTACGTTGACATGGAAATATGGAAGACGAAAGGGCTCTTCTGGTGTGAGAACTCTGTTTGGAAGGTTAAGGCATTATGTAACTGTCGCGGCATAACATGCCGGAGCATGGCCACTCTGTTGCTTTGTAGTTTCCGAAGAATGTACCTAAAAGGTTATTCCGGAAAACTGTTTGGGGAAAGTTTCATACTGTCACGTGGTTAGATTGGTAATTGGATTTACTGGACTCTTATAACTCGCAAATACAAAGAATTATAACCGTTTCAGTAATTTACGCATTTTACAATGTACTGCAGCACTCACTAATTCTTCTCAGTCTGCTCTGTCTTCACCAGTAGTTGCCTGGTAACGGCTCCCAATACCGTAGATTTTCCAGCCTCCGCGTTTACGTTCTTACCGGCTAACTACTGTCTCATAGCTCCTGATAGATGAAACCCCTGCCCCTTGACTCCTAGCCGTGTCTGGCCACCAATGGTTACCACTCCCTATCGCTGGCTAGCATTCAGTTCTGACTGACTTGGCACGTACCCAACAGAGAACACCGCCTATAGCAGTTCCTCTATTGTTACGTGTTGTATTCCTTGCCGTGGAAGTGTGTTTACAGAGCCATAACCTCACAATGGAAGTCTTACCTGGTTTCTGCTATCCAGGCTTTCAGCAGACATGTCACAATATTGTCACGTACGTAGTATGACTGTAGACGGGCTTTTGGATTGATGATTTGATTTATGGGCCACTTATATACTCACGGCTCGTGACTACTCTTTACAGATCACTGTCCCAAATAGACTAGTGTCTTCAGTCTATTACAGTCTCCACTAGCCGTTTCCTAGCAACGGATGTTAAAGGAACTATAACCAACTGAATTACACACTCCAGATATCACATATAAAGTCTTCTCTTCTCCGCCACTGTAGACCTCGTCTCATCTCACTTATAGCCCCTCGGCATGGACCACACATTGCCCACCGTTCCTCTGTTGCTGTACCATTGTTGCGGGAGCGTGTTTACTGAGCCGTTACCTATCAACGGCTCTGGTGTATCTGCCTACTTCGAGGTCGTTGCATAGCAGTGGCTCTACACTCTACAATATGTATACAAGGCTCTATATATTTCAACTGGTACAATCAGGCAGCAGATCATGACTTACCAATAAGTGTGTTGGAGCTGTCACCTCCAGCATTGTTGATCAGTATGTCAGCCCCTCCAAGGTTACTTTTTATCCATTTGAAGGCATCTTTAACATCTGCTTCTTTGGTTACGTCACATTTTACCGCGTACAGCTTTCCTGGTGCCGTCTTGAGATTGCCCGACAGTTCCTGAAACAGGAGTACCTCAAGATCCTGAATTGGCAATGGCTTTTATTCAGAAATCAGAACTTTTATGGCGTAGCGGTGAACGCTTTAGACATACTAAGGAGGGAATCTTGGTTCTCCGTATAGGATTTTCGTGTTTCTCCTCCAGGCAGATATCGAATTAGTGCGTCGGTTTGTCCTTTACCCAGAGGAAAATTCCTGGTACCCATTTTTGCTAGAGGCTGAGTCGACCCCAGGGCGATAGTACGGCAGGAAGGATTGCGTCAATTGAAAAATCTAGTGGCCTCATCAGGAATCGAACCCGCGACCTTCCGACTTCTAGCATAGTGCCTCAACCAACTACGTTACCGCGTCCCTTGAGTTGGTAACGTTACCCAATAAGCTTCCTGGCGATGATGTAATGGTCTACGTCATGATCTGATGATGACGTACCTTCAAAGATGTTTTAGACACACCATACCTGAATTTTCTCCACTCTTCGTGCCAGGCCGACTACTTTGAGTCCTTTCTTCACGAGTTCTTGGGCTAGAACGGCTCCAATCCCTCCACTTGCTCCCGTTACCACGGCAACACGACCTGACCAACGTTCCATTGTTGTAGCTTGTTTTTCAGTTATGTCTGCTGTGTATACCTGAAAATAATATTGTATTTGGATCTATTCATGAAAGTATTCTTTGTGGTTTTGGATTGGATGATTGGATTTAATGACATCTTGTACATTCAACTCGGAACTACAGGCAATTATAGCCCTACCGCTATTTCAGCACTTCACAGTTCACCGTTACATACGCACTAGGGTTTTCAGTCTCCACAAGTTTTCTTCGGCATACGTAAGTTAGGCAAAGAGGACTTGTGTGTGGTGCAAAAGGAAGAGTTTTCAGTAACACGCTGTAAGTGCGATACGTACGGTTGACGGAAGGCCAAGCATATTGATAAGAGGCAAACCAGTCTTGTCGTCAGAGAGGATGTTACACAAGGACTAAAACCGTATGGGTTCAGTTGGAAAAAATATCTCTGGTCGTGGGTCTTAAGGGGCTAGACGCTAAGACTGATTGGCGGTAAACCGCCAGTCGTAAAGTAAATCTGACTTTGACTTTTTGGGTTCTTCGGTCGTAAATATTTATTTGTGTATATAGTATGTAATTAATTCGCTTCTTGGGGAGTGGAGTCCAACTGGGTCCACTCGGCACGGCGACCACTGATTAGCATATTGTAGCCTGCCCCGGGTGATTATGATGATGGAGAATTTGGTGGAATGAAGATTGGCAGGGGAAACCGAAGTACTCGGAGAAAGCCCGCCCCAGCGCCACTTTGTCCACCACAAATCCCACTTGACGAGACCCGGGATCGAACCTGGGCCGCCGCGGTGGGAAACCAGGGACTAACCGCTTGAGCTGAAATGTTACTGAAATGTTGAGGTTTCGGTGTATTTACACATTTTCGAACGCATACAGACCATCCGTGCCTCGAATTATATTCGAATCCACGATCCCAGTGTTCGAGCGGGCGAAGACGTTTCATGACTTGGACCGCGCGGCCATTTTGATCGGTTTTTTATATGCAGGCTACCATATTCAAAGCTATGTTTATAATTTTTAACACTGGGATTATTATTATTATTATTATTATTATTATTATTGTTGTTGTTGCTGCTGCTGCTCTACAACCCTTTGTTAGACCTCGGCCGCTTTTTCAGTTTCTTGATTCTATACACGGTAGGACTCCTTGGACGGAGAATCAGCTACGAACAAACAATAAACGCCCAAAGACATCCATGCCTTGAGTGGGATTCCAAACCACGATCCCAGCTTCCGAGCAAGCGAAGACGGTTCATGCCTTAGACCGCGCGGCCACTGTGATCGGCACAGCGGTATTTCATTTTTATAACAAAACGAATCCGACCATAGCCAGTAAAACGTTCTGTTTTTCAGTACAGAGAATCCTCGGACGTTAATGATATTTTTACCTTATGCATGTGAGCACGGCAAATGTCGCCTTCAAATCATTTCCCTAAATCATGTTACCAGACGCAGAAGAAATGCATACATAAGGAATTATCCTTAGCTTGGCCGTAGTACTGTCAGACAGAACGTGACTAAAGCAGTAGCATAATGATAGGTGCGTGAAGGTCTCTGTCTAGACAGATGTTACAAGTACAAAAGAAATCCTGTGTCTCCCGGCGCTATTGTGACGTCTTCATGACGTCCTTGATTACCGGATACATCCTAATAACATGCAGGAAGCTTCTTTGTGTAACGTGCTCGAGGTCTGCCAAATTGTGATATTTTTGAGTATACCTTGCAGTCTCTTCGTTGGTTACCAACATTTCCGTAGAATCCTTTGCTTCTGTCTCCAGGGCATAAATGTTCGAAAGCCCGGGTAAAGATAAATAATCAGGATCACTTTGTTTTTGAGGAGAAGTACATTATTTTTTTACGATCAGATGTTAGGAAATATCTTCCCTAAACTATATAATACTATACTATATAATTGTAGTTGTAATTGTATTTGCTGTAAGTTTATTTGTATTGTATTCTTTGTGTTTAGTGTGTCCTTTGTTCTTTGTGTAGTTTTGTGTGTTGTGTTTTGTTTGAATAATAATAATAATAATAATAATAATAATAATAAACCGTCGAAAGGCATTACTAGTCCTAGATTGATATGTTATTTAATCCGAGACAGCCCGTTGCTCAAGCACAGCGTATGGGGGACCACGGACACGTCCACTTACTCATAACTTAACATTAGATAAGGGTGAGTGATCCTAGCCCAGGGTTTCTGCACCCTTTTGAGAAGACTATCGCATGCTTTTGTAAGTTGTTACTTAATTTTATTTTAAACTACGTGTTCTCGTTAAACCACAAAGTTTAATAAATAGGTTATATTTATTCCATGCATGCAAAAACAATTTGTACAAAAGAAAGCTTTCAAAATATTAGTCAGTCCCTCTCGTCCTGTGTTCGACAATGTATAAAATATATTCTGCACCCCAACCCCCCTTGTTAGGCTATACGTGCGCCTGAGGGTACACGTATCCCAGGTTCAGAACCTCATACCTAGCTCCTATTTAATACAACTCGATTAATACTTCTAAAAAATAAAGATAGCGAAAAAACTTGCTCGACGTTTGTGTGGTCAGATTTTCTCAGAAAATTCTAACGATATTTCATAACTCGAAGTTCATACCATTTAACCTGTGTAGATGGGGTGATCAGCCCAAGGGCGTGGCCAGGTATGTGGTTTATGTATTCAAAAGATCGTCAGTTATGAGATCAAGTAATATTTTAATCTTTCCTCCACTGAATATTATACCCAAATGTTTTTAATGTTCAGGTAGCCCGTTTCGAAATCTGACCGAAAATTTGGTCATACACTCAGATATTTACTTTGAGTCTTCTTACGCCCACTTGATGAACAGCGAGACAGTTTCTTGACACAGGCTACAGATCACTAATCTTCTCTCTAATTTCGTGGGGTCAGACTCCGTCCAATTGGTATGTCGGCCACTGTCTGGCCTACTGTTCCAGCTCCGGATGGTAGATGCATATGAGGATTTGGTGCATTGAGAATTGGCAAGGGAAACAGAAGTAATCGGAGGAAACGCACCCAAGTGGCAGTTTGTCCACCAAAAATCCCACATGACCTGACCTGGGATCGAACCCGGGCCTCCGCGGTCAGAAGCCGTCTAATAACCGCCTCAGCTATGGAACCGCCGGTTACTCATCATGGTCACCGCCGTTAATATCTCAAATTTCACGACATTACGGCTTGATAATACGATGGGGTACCCAAAAGAAACCGAACTAATTTTTTTTTGTGGGCAGAGCTTTTGTAGTACCGCATTTTGCCGCTGTGAGCGCATAGAGCTAACATTCCTGAGTCGATAAGCCGACTACCGTTGCTTCAGAAGGTAAGGACTAGTTTCGGCAGAGTTTATAGTGACAACTGTTTTGTGTGAACGTCGTTTTTGCAATGGCTGATTTTCGTGCGGCGATGAAATTCTGCTTTTTGCTCTGGAAAAGTGGAACAGAAACTCTTGAAATGTTAAGAACGGCGTACAAGGACTATGCTATGGGGAAAACTCCAGTGTTTGATTGGTTTTCCCGTTTCAAAAATGTTGAAATGTCAATTGATGACAAACCTGGTTCTGGTCGTCCTTCCACGGCCCGAACACATGAATATGTTGAAAAAATTCGTGAAATCATCAAGGAAGATCGACGACGGACCATTGAAGAAATTGTGGAGCTGTCGGGAGAGACTTGGAGCAGTCGGGTGACTGGTTTTTCCATCATGACAATGCCCCTGCTCACACAGCCCTGTCTGTACGACAATTCTTGACCAAAAATGGTATGACCCCTGTTCCTCACCCTCCATACTCACCCGACCTTGCCCCGTGCGACTNTAAGTTCGGTTTCTTTTGGGTACCCCCTCGTATGTCGCTCGGATGGGTAGAAAAAAAGGTAAAGCTATCCCTATAACAGGCCCTGGAGGCCAATAGAGTTGTGAGAGGTCGAGGCTCCCACATTTTCTAGACATTCGGCTAATAGGTGGCGGTGAGGTTGTCAGCCTTACGCGCCGGCCGCCCTTTACCCCCAGGAAGATTCCTGGTACCCATTTCTGTTAAGAGGCTGAGTCAACCTCAGGACCATAGTGCTGCTGGAAGGATTAGGTCAATTGAAAAATCCAATGAACTCGTCGGGAATAGAACCTGCGACCTTGCAGCTTGTAGTATAGTCCCTCAAGCAAGTGCGGTACTGCGTGACCCCTCGCTCATATGAGACAGACAAATAATACATGGCAGAAGGAAACTTTTCCGAAAGACGCCATTTGGAAGACATCGAGGATAACAGAATAATGGACCGTAGAGGAGTAAATTTTGAGTATGTGAGATGGATGGAACTGACTTGGAGGGTCGTGGTTTTACTCGTACGTGTAGTCAGCCTTCGGATTTCATTCCCAAATGGTCAGTATAGTTATTTTAGTTCAGTCTGGCCGAGTCCGGTATGATATTGTAACATATAGATCCATTGCTAGGCTACGCTCCCAACACACACGCTGCCAACAATACAGGAGAGTAGTGTTTTCTATGTCGTTCGCGCACGGACCGTTCCTATGCAGCGCGCGCTAGGCACGTTCACGCGTGCGCGGTGTTGTCATACAATAGAAGTAATGCATGCAGGTGTTTTCTGTAGGTCCGAGCCGGGGCATGTGTTTTCTGTGATGCTTGATCCTTGCCGCGTCTATATAAGTGAAGCTAGGAGCTGTGAGAGTCAAGAGAATGGGAATACAACGCGTACAGCGGAGTACAACAGCGTGCGTGAATGAGAATTGGGTCAGTCGTAGATCAGAATTCAGGGAGTCGGCAGTCGAAGGAATTGCCTTAGTATGAGTGTACATGTGCTGTAGTACAGTGATATGGGAGTGTGTAATTTTGTGAGAATTTTATAACTCTGTTATAAAACCGATACCAGGAAACGGATAGTGAAGACTAGTCGAAATAGACTGAGAATATTAGTGTGGAGTGATTTGTAAAGTGGAAAGCAGTAACAGAATTATAATTAATTGTAGTTACTACTTGTAAGTTTGTCAGTAAATCCAATTACCAATCGTAACACCGTCTACAGTCATTAATACACGTGACAGTATGTACTTACGGTGTTGGGGATGTAAAATTTTAACTGCTCGAATGACAGACGAGAGTAAGATAATAGAAATGACCTTGACGTCGATCAAGCATGACTCGAGAACTGCATCCTTGTTCAGACTAATGCGTAGTTAATTTGTTATTCACTTCATTCGTATTATGTCACAGCCGTGAGTACATATGTCCTCTTGACTGTTTTCACATTGAAAATTCTGCATTTCCTCCATTTAGTTTATATATGCTTCTTCTGAGTTAAAATGAAAGGTAAAGCTATCCCTGTAACAGGCCATGGACGCCCATAAGGTTCTGAGACGTCGAGGCTCCCACATTTTATAGATAATCGTGCTCAGATGCCGGAGAAGTCGCCAACCTTACGCACCACCTGCACTTTACCCCCCCCCCCCCCCCCCGGACCCGA